ACGAGGCATAAACATCCTTCAGCTTAACACCAAGAAATCTTGTGACCAGTAAAGTGAGAGAAACAGCCATGAGTTTGGTTTTACGCCGCTTTTAGCAATATTCCAACATCATCACGCTGGTGGACACCAGAAATGGGCTTTCACACATTATACCCATGTGGGGATTCGAACCCGGGTCTTCGGCGTGACGAGCCAACACTTTAATCATTAGGCTACCCCACTCCACTTAACTTAAGAAGTCCGAGAGAGTGATATATTTACAACATGACCCATGAAAATTCACTAGCCAGTCGGGCCAGTTGATCGAAAGCCCTACACTCCAACCACTGGGATACCCAACAAATTCCAGTTCCACAGAATTCCAACAGATAGGTTTTGCTGTATTGGCATTGTTTAAAAATCAGCAACAATACAATTCACCTCCCACCAAAGAAGTCCCCTAAGAAGTGCTAACAACATTCCTAAAAATGATCAGCTTTCATCCAACAACATGACAACTTCACTCTATCCATTTCAGATTTTGGATGACATGTAATTTGGCATATATTTCACAATGTACACACAATCTGTACAGTTCACACTCAAGCCAAAAGATACCCATCATTCGGAGTTCTATCAACAGATTACCTTTGATAATTTTTTCATCAGATTTTGACAAATAGAAAAATACACTGAAAAAGTCGAAGTGCTTTAATCCAGAATTAAAAAACTGTTCATGGCTATATTTTAAGGGAAGTACCTTGTTGACGAAAGCTGTTGTCAATCAATCATTTCATGAAATTCAAGCAACAGAATGAAATGGGACTCTTTCAGTTTTTGGTTGGATCCCGTTCACCTTGGATTCCAAGCTCACACCATGAACACAAGATTTCTAGCTTGTAACAACTGTAGGACGTTCAACACCAACTATTAAAATATTTTCTTTCCCTTATAATCTCCAATCACTAACTACAAAATAATCTGTGTGACAGCTGCACAATATCTATCTAGAGTTATAATACTTATATATATATTCACCAATACATCTGGAACTAGTGGAAGGCATTGACATAATGTATTCATCAACCTCTGCAAATTTGTTCAGGGAACATTCAACGACATTCCCCAAAACGCAATTCTGGGTTCACACTTGAAAATGAACGATATACATGTGATGATATTTTCCCCATCCACGACAAAAATAACAACATATCATTACTTGGAAAAAATGAGGCACTTTCGGCCAAAATGATAAGATACCAATGGCGCTAAGGCAGTATCTCAGATCAAGAATACGTATTCACTATTGAACCAATCTTTCACCAGTGAATGTTGGTGCCAATAATGACTGTAACCATGGTTACCCCCAATATCACAGACAATGTAACTTGTGGTGTCAAGGTTGTATGTAGTTTGATAGAAGTAACATCCAGACAGGAACCTCGTTAATCTGGACCCTGCTATATAGGAGATGTCACCTCCACCACCACAAATATTCCTTTCCTAATACTTATTATATTCTAATGAATGGGTGGCTATGAAACTTTCCATTACAGTTCCAGTAGGATTGTAAATTGATCAAATAATTTTTGTGTATCAGTTATTTATTGGACAGAACTCAACATAATCTGAGCTCATGAGATCAAATTCCTTTCTCACTTGGTAACAGCTCATTACAAACCAACAATGCACAAATCGTTCATTATGTCAATATTACCTTCAAGGGGACTTAACTCTACAGACAGTCATTCTACTATCAAGAATGAATGATCCCATAACCCCCTCCTACAAACTACTGCCTAAAACCTTAAAACAAACGATTCAAATCCTATAAAAATCTTCCCCAACAGCTAAGGCAAACCACAGCAGTATGTAGGTGAAATATATTGTTTCTAAATCATCTTGCATCCAGAAATGGGCTTCACACAATGTGCCCATGTGGGGAATCGAACCAGGGTCTTCGGCGTGACAAGCCAACGCTTTAGACACTAGGCTACCCCACCGCCCCTGAAGCCTATTAGTAATTATCTATACTACTAAATAAAAGTTAAGGACGACCTCATCATTTCACATTAACATTAAGTACATCTGCCATGCAATGACAGAAAAACTTGTACAGTACCATGAAAGAGTCAGGTGTTCCTTATTTATTTTGAGTAGCATAAGTTATCATGATTTTGCTTCAAGCAAAACGATAACAAAATCAACATCTTTAACAAAACATCTCAAGCCTTAACCTTAAGCCTTTACAATCCTGACTTTGAATCACTTGACCATGGTATTTCAAATTAACATGATTAAGGCAAACATGAAATTCTGAAGAGTATAGCACTTTTAGATGAATAAATATAGACACATTGCCTCTGAAACACATCAAGCTTGAGATTCTTTATCAAATGCATATCTGTTAAAAATAATTTGAAAGGCATGGGAAAATCATTTTAATCTGTATCTACATATTGAAAAGGTAGTGAAACTGTGGCCATTGTAATTACGCCACTGTTCATAATCAAGTCTTTAAGTCTTAATTCTCTAAATTGAAAGACACAACTATGTTAAGGTATCATTGACCACAATATACCTTTATACAGCTAAAAAAATATTCATTAAATATCACTGTTCTCGATCTATCAAAATGTTCAAAAAATGTTTCAAGTAGATAATAACAGTGATCAATGACTCAAGTTATGTTATTATTGTTAATGCATGGATACAAACTTAATTAGAATTCAAGTATTGTTTCTTAAAACTCCAAATGAGCTTAATATCTGAATTCATTAATCATTTTATTGTTATGAAAACTAAGTACAAATTATTCAGTGTTGTTATGTCACTATGGAATGTGTACATGAAACTATGAAAGACATACAATGTAGACAAGGAACGAAGACCTAAAAGTTAACTCATATATCACAGAGAGACCAAAAATATTTCAGTGGAATTACTAGTAAAGCTTGTTTCCTGTTTTTCAGTGGAACATAACAAATCCACCACCTGCACAAAGACACAGTCAAGTGAAATTACCTTCAGTCTTACACAGCTGAATGAACAATCTATATTTATGACACAAATTAAAAACGTATAATGGAATTTTGTAATAGGGCTTTAAACAAAATGGCCACAAAAATCAGGTTGTTGTTCTGTGTATTTCAGTCTGAGAAAATACAAAATAGTCATTTCATTACACAGGCTTCATACTTTGTCATGCATGAAATATCTACTGTGAGTGAGTGTGTTTAGTTTTACGCCGCTTTTAACAATATTCCAGCAATATTATGGCAGGGGACACCAGAAATATGCTTCACACATTGTAGCCATGTGGGGAATCGAACTCGGGTCTTCGGCGTGACAAGCGAACACTTTAACCACTGGGCTACCCCATCGCCCTAAATATTTACTGTGATTATCAGGGTTTTTTCTGAGTTAATAGTTAATTAAGTGTTTTAATTTTGTGTCAGTATTAAGATATACTGAAATGACTTTAAAATAATTGGTAGACTGTTATCAACACAGACTGATCAGATTCCTTGAGTATGTCATTGACAGTGAATACTGACACGAGAAGTTTCAAAACAGTCAATGTTGAACGAAGGTTTTCTGTTCCCAAAAGATGTTAACTTAAATCGGCAGGGCTCGATAAATTCAAAAATCTGCACTCGCCCTGTAGGGTGAGTAATATGAACTTCCACTCGTCCTTCTAAAATTGTACTTTCCCTATAGATCATGCATCACAATGAATATACATTTAAATTATTTTAGTTCAAAATGTTTGCTTGGAATAAAACTACAATAAACATTTCTTACATTGCCTTCTGTACAAAATCTTTGACACAATTGAATTCGTTCACCATTTAAGATAGTTGAACTTCAAGGAAAAAGAAAAATGTTACTTTTGGGTCAGAAAACGTACTCGTCCTCTAGGACGAGCAAATTATGTTTTTCACTTGCCCGAAACAAATTTTACTCGTCAATACGAGCGGACGAGTGGAATTTTCGAGCCCTGATCGGTCTGCTACTTTCGGGAAGCACTGCAAATCTCATGCTCAGTATCCATAACAGATAATACTAATCCCAACTAGTAATTTAAAGAACACCATAGAAACACTACTTTTGGTCCAGAGTGAGTGAGTTGGTTTTACGCCACTTTTAGCAATATTTCAGCAATATGACGACGGGGACACCTGAAATGGTCTTCCCACATATTACCCATATGGGGAATCAAACTCGGGCCTTTGGCGAGTGTCCACTTTAACCACATGGCTACCCCATCACCCCACTTCAGGTCCAGAAGGAACATGGGCAGATGGGTATTTCCAAGTGACACTTACATGATATTTTTGCTTCCGAATCCCCACAAAAAGGTACCGATCACATTGGCAAGAGTTGTTAAGTTCAACCATATTTACTAGAACTAAGACTTACAATGAAAGACCAGTATACACTTATCTGTCTGTGACAATGTTGAAAATCCTAAGTAATAACAGCCGATCCCAAGCCCTTTGTTAAACATCAAAGATGGAGCCTGCATCCTCTTAATTACACATTCAAATACAAACATCCTTGAGACAGGGGATGCTTCAATTTACGCCAGTGGATCTAGTTTAAATTGCATATCTTTTAACCATAATTGTTCAGATACATTATTATCGATTCAACCATCCCTCAAGTAAAGATTTTAAATACTTGCAAACTAACCTTGAGGGAAATTAAAGTTTCGAAAAATCACCATAAATTGGCACAGATGAGTGTAACAAATTTACAGGCATTATGTGTTTTGACATGCATTCAAAATCATTCAGTTATCGCTGTATTACAAGAAACAAATGCCTACTTATAAGGTATGGTAATTTCTTTCTTGTCGGGCTTTGTAAAATTTGCACCCAAAGAAAACAATAGCCATAATGCCGGCACAGAGGACGATTCCGCCAATGAAGGATGGTCCATCGAAGTGTTGGGTTGCCTGTCTGGCGGTCGTTGTAGTCGTGGCAGATGTCGATGTGTTTGTACCGGTAGGAGGCGCGGTTGATGTCGATACATCCGGTGTAACTGATGACGTCACAGGTACAGTACTGGTTGATCCATTTTGCGTGGTAGGGCTTGTTACGATGGCTGTAGGAGTAGTAGTATCATTTTGGGGTGGTAGTGGGTGTTGTCGGTTCTTCTCCTGAAGAATAGTGAATGCACGAGTTAGCATGGTCAGTAAGAGTGAATGTAAGAATGAGTGCAAGGTTTCAAATGATGCAGAAACAAAACCTCAATATGGACACATATATACATGTGCCATTCAACGTTAAGACGCACGTTACCAAGAAAACAAATGAGATCCCGTTGAAGGTTTACATTCGGGTTAAATATCTTCCCTATATTATTTTAATTAAATGTGTGATTATCGTAAACGACATGGGGCAATATGAACGACGCATTTCTACTTCCAATACAAGATTAGAACAGCACATCCAGAGGAAGCTGAGTAGTCATCTGACATTCTAAAGATGCATTGTGGGAATGTGGACAAAGGCTCCGATAATGAATGTTTACCGTTGTTAAAGTTAAACGTAATTTTTCCATTAGTGATGTACGTTGACTGAAGCAACTGCAAACCAAGAAACAGGGTGCTACAGAGTTAGATTTACTGTATCAGACTGTACTGGGCATTGACAGCTGACATGCATCTAGACATCGGATAGCAAGAGTACGTTTGATTACGAGGGGGCAGACTAGAATGGTGTAATGACATCAATACAGTATGACATAATGCAAAAGTGCAAAAAAAATACTTTATCGCCTGATTAAGTAACGTCAGCGCCTTTGATCTTTTAGCAAAACATCTTAGAAACAACAATATTACATCCTGAGAGATTCACAGTAATCATGGTTATAAGCATTCTCTTCCCACAGAGGTTACTCCTGTCATATCTTCCCTCGTAACCTCTGTTCTAATACGGCCCTTTCATGGTGTGAGTGTTCAAGACTCGTGATTGGAGGCAATCCGATTTAGTTGTGCAATCAGCGACGTTGTTTCAAAAGTGATCATTCGCAAGGCCTCGGTAATTTCCGTATGCTTCGAGAAAACTAAGCCTCTTCCCCTGCGTGATGCGCAAACGTTTCTTCTTGACAGAACTCAGTCATGTTATGGCGGATCAGTGGCGTCTCCATCGCCCTCGTTGACAACGGACAAGCTAGCCATTAAACGTCTTGTGTGTAACATCAATACAAGTCCCCGGCAGATGGGGGATATTTGTGGCCCCACATTTGCATGTGTTAGTCAAGTTGAATCTAAGTCGATGTAACACGTGTTCTGATTGGATAGAAAGAAGGGAGATTATTCGTGTTGCGATCTTTTGCGGCTAGGGGATTTTATGAGAACCGGGAAATATGGCCGTATTAGAACAGAGGTTCGTAGGAAGATATGACAAGTAACCTCTGTGGGAAGAGAATGGGTAATAAGCACAGTACCCTGTTCTTTACAAGAAAGATCACTGACCAACAACAAAAGTAAATAGAACATCTTATTTACTCTATACTCAGTACAAAACACTCTCGTTCAAATCATAATTCCTCTAAGCCAATTGATTCATATCATACGGATCTACTGGATCCCAAGGTGCGTAGGTCAAGGCAAAACTCTGATGTAGCACAATACCACTTTAACAACCACTTGCTTCATACATATAACAGAACTTTGTTTTTTGTTTCATATTACCAGGCAGAGGCCCAGATAAGCTGCGTATCTGGGTAAAATACGCATAGAAAATTTCAATTACGCATTGAAAAATAACTGTTGCGTACCAATTACGCATTTAAAATGTTCGATACGCAAAAAGTGTAAAACAAATGCGTACGGAATATATTTATAAAAATCGCTTGCGTAATGAAAAAGACATTGATTGCTATCAAGTTGAACTGTTAGTATAGGACAAGTGTTGTACTGTCAGTATAGGATGAGTGATTTTTTTATGAAATCATTTCCATTATATTTAAGTTGGTTTTGATTAGGTATGACATAAGGCAGGACATACCTGCTTAGTAAACTTACTAAATGACATAATACTTAGGTGAGTAAAATGACTGAAATACGCACATATTTGAAGCAGTGGGTAACGGAAAATGAAACACCCACTCAACATTCATAATACCCACTCCATCAAAATACAGTGGGTACAGTACCCACATGAGCTAAATCGTATCTGGACTGACTGACTGACTGAGTTTGGTTTTACGCCGTTTTTAGCAATATTCCAGCAACATCACGGCGGGGGACACCAGAAATGGGCGTCACACATTGTACCCATGTGGGGATATCGTATCTGGAGCTCTGACCAGGGGCTAAACAGCTTTTTGAGAAGGGGGGGGGCTGGGGTTGTTTTTTTTGCACACACTTGAGAAACCGAGGTGCACACTTCATTTTCACGGGTCTCTTAATAAACTTTCATGACAAACGTGGGATGCGCACCCATGCACACACACCCCTGATCCGCCTTTAAAGCCATGCTTGGATTTACATCATATTCAGCAATATTCCAGCTTTAAGACGTGATTGTCAGCGAATAATCAAGTGTGGACCACACAATCCAGTGATTGACATCATGAGCAGACATCTGTAAACTGGAATACAATGACATGATCAACTAGACCAGCAAGCTTGACCATTTGATTCCATTTTGGCCAATACACACTGTCAACATGATGATTGGCATTTTTGTTTCCATAATGTTATATCTTGTAAAAACTGCTCCCAATCTCCATGGTCTCAATGCCAGTTATCTCAGCTGCCAGTTTGTAATAATTTTTTCTCAATGCAGCACTGCTGTGGCAGTACTGACCTGTAAACAGGATTTGTTGTAATCAATTGTTTGCAATTGCAGCATTGATAACTGTTGTGGCAGTACAATCTCATACCCAGAGTTCCTTGCGGCCAGCTAGCATAGTGCCTCTGCCACAGGCCAGAAAAATGTGACGATTCGTCACATCTTGCACCGTCCATTCAATATAATGAACATATTTCTTAACTCTTTTATTTTTGACGAGCCTAAACATCTAATTAAACATCTTTGATAGAATGGCTTAGTTTCACTGAGAAAATATCCTAAAACATGTAACACTATTTCGATTTGCGTAGCGATCCTTTGTTTATGTAGGTTGTACGGTTCCATGTGCTGTCATCGAAGCCGACAGGGATTCAACGATGCAACCAGTTTGATATCTAAATATGTACTGTCATAAATGTTACTGTCGCAGTTGTGGAAGAATATATATGTAACAATGTAAAACACTGTAAAGTGCGCACCGAAAAACTTCCGTAAGGCCAGTCTCTTCTTATTATGAATATGCGCGTTTGTTTACAAACAAGAGAAAAGTCCGGTCACGTGATATGCAAATTAGCCTGTGGCAGTGATGTTATGTTAAGTCATCGCTGTGCCGGAGTGTGGTGGCAATACTGACCTGTAAACAAGATTGGTTACCGCATTTCAAACTTACCTCTGCATGTCATTGCCAGAGACAGGTTTGACTTCGGACAGGTTTGTGTCATGTTGATTGTCAGATTGAAACAGCCTGTTACAAAGAGAAACATTAAATATATAAGACGGGAACACAAATCACCTTATTCACGCTGTGCCCTGATTCAGAAATCATGTGCATTTGATCGGATTTACAACACTCAGGTTACCTGGTTGATCTGACACAGTGGAAAGTCAATTCTCATAAGTAACATACATAGAGAGGTGCTGACACTTGGATACCTATAGAAATAGTTCAAAATCCAATTTTGCGTCAAAATACATTCTTTATTATTTACATTCAGTCATCCGATTTTGTTGTTATCATTGGGAAACCTGTTTCTAGTGAATGAGTGAGTTGGGTTTTACGCTGCTTTTAGCAATATTCCAACAATATCCAATGGTGACGGGCGACACCAGAAATGGGTGAGTGAGTGAGTTAAGTTTTACGCCGCACTCAGCAATATTCCAGCTATATGGCGGCGGTCTGTAAATGATCGAGTCTGGACCAGACAATCCAGTGATCAACAGCATGAGCATCGATCTGCGCAATTGGGACACCAGAAATGGGCTTCACATTTGTACCCATGTGGGCAACTGAACCCGGGTCGCCTTAACCACTAGGCTACCCCATCGCCTGCTTCCAAATACAATATGAATAATGTCAGTAATGTTTATTCTGATTGGCTGTCAGTTTTGTGTTATCCAATCAGACCACATGTTACTTTATTGAATATGCATGTATAATCTGTCAGTGACTGCATTAAAGCAGGTCAGCATCACAGCAGTACAAGGTAATTTGTCATCTTGTTTCAGACATTTCATTATCAGTAGACTTTACATTTCAGGACTTGAATTGTTTCTTTGTTGATTTTGAACACCACATATATTTACCCATACACAAGTGAGTACGGTTTTACGCTGCTTTTAGCAATATTCCAGCAATATCACGGGGGGGGACACCAGAAATGGGCTTCACACATTGTACCCATGTAGAGAATCTAATCCCGGTCTTCAGCGTGACGAGCAAATGCTTTAAGGCCAAAAACAAATTATGTCTGCTTCCAGTAACCCTACCAACCCTATACTAACACCCTCCCCACACACACACACCCACCCCCGACCCTAAATCTTTTTTAGCCAAGTGAAAATCATGACTGGATTGCATTTCACCTCATCATTTTCATCCAAATCGAGTATGATATTTTCAGGTTTTTCAGTGTAAGGCTAAAATGGATTGCATTGAATTGGCATAATGGGCTCTCACTGACAAAATCTGCAAATAAATAATGATTTGATATAGTCATCTTTCAATGTTTCGTCACAAGGCATCGTCACTACATGATATGGTATCTTTGAAGACCTTCTCAGGTGCCCACCTGGTGCTACTGAAAAATATAAAAAATATGCAAAAAAAATAAATAGATGAAACCGACCCACCAACCCTATTTTTAAAAAGCACTTAATTGGAAACGGACACACTTTATGGGGGGGGCCTAACCACTAGGATACACCACCCCACTAATAAACTGTCAATCAAGTTCTTGTTTATACCTGATATACTATCGGTTGTGCAGTTCAGGAACATACAGGCATCAGCACAACAGTTTGCAGAAAGGTTGTGAGTTGTGCAGTCAACATCTGAAACAAAAGGGAAAATACATATGTATTATGTGCTACATATGTTTTATTACCTACGAGGGTGAAACTATCGGGGGTTCATATTTTTCATACGATGCTCTGGGGCAAAATATCACTTGGTGGCGGGACGTCATGAACAATGCTGTGACGGTACGTTTCTTCTGTGACGTTGCATTCTACATGCAGTGATGGCAGGTAGCCAGCCTACGTTTGAAAGTAGATTTTGGTTTATTTTCCTCAATTTGACGACTTTGGTAATTAACAGAATATTATATGAGTGCCCATATCATACTACATTTACAACACTCATGCCTAAAAATCGGTATATCCCTAGCTCTCGCTCATGGGCACTCATATAATATCCTCTATATATGTACATTACCAGTATTTATATCCTGTATATCTGTTAGTCAACGTTCACCAGACGAAGGGGCAAGGAAAAGCCCAGAAACGTGTATAGAATAAACAATAAGTGGACATCCATAATATTTTGTCTTATACATATTATCATGGGTTTACAATGTTTCTGTAATGTCCAAACTCCAGTAGTTGAAGAAGAATTTATTTCGGTATAAAGGCCTTTGGCCCGTGTACAATAAATGCAAAGTGGTATATGATATATAGACAATAAGGTTTAAACATATACATGGGTATATACATACATGTCTCTCCTAACATTGGATAGAATTCCTTTTAGATAGTGCATGTTTAATAAATAGTGAAATTTTTATAAGTAAATTCTTATCTTTGCATGTTAACAACTTAGGATATTTGCTTAAAACAGATGGACAATTAAATTCTGGTAGGTGTTTGCTTCTTAAATTTGCATATGCATCACAAAGAAGTACAAAATGTAATTCATCTTCAAAATTATTGAGGTTACACATTTTACATATTTTGCTTAACCCACTGTCATCTTGACATCTTACGTTACATAGGAGAGGCAATTGTTGAATACGTAATAAGCATAACTAACGGCGATATTCCTTTAGATGTACATTAGAAATATTGTATTCAACATCCAGTAATGATTTTAATGATTTGTAATAAGATAAATGTGCTGATTCATTTATTTTGCTAAACATATTTTGCTTTACAGAATAATCAAGTCTTTGTTTAAATATAGATACAAATTCATTTACACTACCAACTTCTTGGCTTACCACACAAAACCAAATCCATACGTGTTTAACAATATTCTTATATAAGATGCCCAATTAATTCTGCTACAATCATAAAGCTTTTTCAAAACGCTTAGGGGTGTCTCATGCAGGATTTAAACCAATACTCTCAAACCCAGCATTCCACCATCAAAACCACTCAGCTCCAAATGGATGTCCGACAACTGGTACAAGGGATCAAATAACATCATGGTATAATAGGGATTATTCTTTTATATTCCCTTAATATTTTTGCGTTGCATCCCATCTGGGATTCAACCCACACTCTCAGAGAGATATATTTAATCTCAAGCAAGAAACTATGAAAGCCTCAGTCGCTGTTAGATCGCTGATTTTGTGTGCTGGCAATTAGGTGCCCTACTTTTTACAATAAGTATAAAGCCTCTTTAAGTACTTGTAAATTTGTTTAGCATTTATACAGGATCAATAGGACTACACTCACTCTCACAATGTACCACAATGTCAAAATAACCAAATATTCACCATATCTACTGTCTGCTAACAATAGGCGACATTCATAATTGCGATTCCAATGCATTTACTTAGACAAGTCTCTGAAATGAACATACTTTACAGAAAAAAATAATTTAAATTAAAATTAGAAATACAATAAAAAGGAGCCCAGAGACTTTCTTCATTTAGACTTGCCACATTTTTAGGCGTGGGCTCTCTTGGATACATTTGCTTCAGGGTCTGTATGACAGACTATGCATCTACTCTTTTATGACTGTATAAGCATGATAAGCATGCTTTGTATATCTGCAATTTCACTAGCCATGCACAGGGATTTACATAGACTTTGAAAAATGTGAGTCATGGTGACTCAAAGTATATGTTTTTGTGAGTCATTTTCAAAATATTTGAGTCATGAAAATATTTTTTTCAATAAAATAATTTCATTATTAATTCTAAATAAGGGCTATTTTGTGATAATATTGCCTTCTGTTGTAAACAACCTTGGTGTACAGGGGTTGAAATAACCCATTGCCCGATGCCTGAGTCCAGTGTTTTTTTCTGTCAGGCAAGCAAATTTGTATATCACACTGTACCGGTGTCCAGTTGATTTTCCAATGTTAATTATGTTGTTTATTTAGAAAATCAACAAGAAAACGGCCAGTACAGTGGAAAAATTATCAAGGCAAGTTATTTTACTTGTGCCACTGTACCAGAGTACACTAGCAATTTTAAAGTTATTTCCACCCCTGCAGAGTAGTGCATGATTACTTATTAACACATACTCATTAACTCATCTATTCATTCATAACAAAGTTGAATGTAATGAGTGAGTGAGTATGGTTTTACCCCGCTTTTAGCAATATTCAAGCAACATTACAGCAGGGGACACCAGAAGTGGGCTCCACACATGGTACCTATGTGAGGAATCAAACCCGAGCCTTCAGCATTGCGAACAAACTTTTAACCCTCTGGGCTTCCCCACCAGCCCTGAATGTAATGAAACAGTGAACTACACCGGTAATGATATTTGTCATGATTTAACTTGTAACAGTAACTTCAAGCAAGGTTGGTACATGCATAAACAGTGACCAACAATTGTCACTGTTCTGTTTTGAGTTGACTATGACTCATATGAAAAGGAGTTGTATTTTACAAAATTGTTGAGTCAAATACTCAGGAATTATGTGTCATATAAAACCCTGCATACATATACTGAAACAACAAATCACTGTAGCACTTGTTAAAAGGCTGAATAATAGTGAGTGAATGAGTTTAGTTTTACGTCTCACTCAGCAATATTCCAGCCATATGGCTGCGGTCTGTAAATAATCGAGTCAATGACATGTGTCTGTGTTGAAGACTAAGTTCATGTTTTAATGAATTGTCCGGTTTATAGTGATGAACGTTTTAGTCTTTTAAATACTTGTGATAGCCTATGTCAGAATTTTAGTAATCTTACTGATATACAAAAAACTGCTTTTATCCTGTCCAATAGCAATATCTGTTTTATAGCTGCCAAAACTTGCCATGTTATTTTAAAAGGAGAAAATCCGTATTATATAACTTTTAATTATTGTTATTCATAATACATGTACATGCAATTTTTAAAGAATTTTAGTCTCTCATAATTCCGTATGGAATGGCCCTATGTAAATATATGTTTAATTAGTTTGTATATATGTATAACAGGGGTGAGACTTTAATAAATAAACTATCTGTCTGTCTGTCAGTCTGTGTCAACCAAGTCAGCAAGCCTGACCACCCGATCCCGTTAGTCGCCTCTTGGGACAAGCATGGGTTACTCAAGACCGATTCTAACCCATATCTCCATGAGTGGAATCATAAATAACAGAGATATAATTATGTCACTGGTGACATACATCATTTATATTGTTACATATCATATGTTTATGTTATATAAAATGCTTATTTTCACTGATAAACACTGAAGTGCATATCAAACATGTCCTGGAAATCATATCAAGTTACATGTATATATCTAATATATATCAACAAAATAGAATGAGCCAAAAACATAGTTTAGCATGCTTAGAGCTGATGCTATCTGGTGTTGGGACTTATATTATTACTTCTATCATTGAATATCACTGAATATTTTCACAGCAAATATGTTTTTATATCAGATGAGATATTACACAGGAGATATACATGGTATATGTATATGTTTAGTAACAGGTACATGAAATCTGAATAATCTATTATGCCTATAGGTCATGAAAGCAAAGCGTAAAGGTGATCGTGTTTTCATGGCTATGTGTTGATTATTTCATGGGAAAGTGACACACGATACTAGTGATTGTTGTAGTTGCAAAATGTCTAAATAACATGGAGACGTTTGTAATAAAATCAGGACTGTGAATGAATATGTCTTTGAGTCTTCATTTCTAAAAGTGGGGCGGTTGGGTAGTCTAGTGGTTAAAGCGTTGGCTCGTCACGCCGAAGACCCGGGTTCGAATCCCCACATGGGTACAATGAGTGAAGCCCATTTCTGGTGTCCCCCGCAGTGATATTGCTGGAATATTGCTAAAAGCGGCGTAAAACCAAACTCAGTCAGTCAGTCATTTCTAAAAGTATATTTTACTGTCTTGTCTGTTGTTTATGGCTACAGAATTGATATCACAATTCAGTAAAGGGGTTCGATGTCAGCACGGGTACATCAGATATGTACTAGTGTTGGGAATTGGTTGAAATGTCACAATTGATGATTGGTTCAATATCAACGACCAATCATCGGAAAAAAATTGGTTAGCGTCATTTTTTAGATTTTCCTATTCAGGTTGTAGTTGCAGATAAGTATAAAGAAAAAAACATTTGGTTCTCTGTTGTTGTTTTTAGAAACTGCACAAATTACATTTGCAGATTTCACATCCAGTGTAAAATGATTCAGTTCCAGTGTAACATTAACTTCCCAGATTCTTCAAGAAATATTCAGTCATGACTTTTCAGAAAGTGAAGTGAGTTTTCTTAGAAATAAACACGTTTTCAGGCCCTGACAACGTCCTAGATATGTTCCATGATCAAGTATTTCAAACTCTATTACAGCGGTTCCAAAATCGTTTGTGTTCGATTATGAGAAAATGCAGATCGATTGCTTGGTCATTTGGCCACTGCGACCAATCTTCGATTATTTCAATTAATCGGACCACCAGTGGTCCACTAATATGTACCCCAGGTAAATTTCTGTGTACAGAAACGTACCCTTGCCAAAATCTGAATACAGAAACAACTCAAGGACTGGTCCATTCTACATTGTGCTGTTTTCTTGATCGGAGCTGTCATAATGTTGTATTAGTTACATCTGATTGCGTTATATAAGAAACAAGCATACAAAGTAACAAATATTCCATGATGCACAAAATACCAATCCAGGGTTTTACATGACACGTGATTCCTGCGATTTGATGCAACAATGTTGTAAACGACTCTCAAAATATTATCATATGAGTCTAGCTTGACGAAAGTTTTATTCGTGGCCCTCACAATTCAGCTCAATAAAATCAATTTGACAAGCCAAAAATGATATTATTCGATGATAGCTTGACAGTAATCCTGGCAGTTTGAATTGAACAATGCTGTAGTTTCATTTGGTGGTGTGACATACACAGTTACACACTGAGAATGATTAACACAAAGAAATATTAAAATTTTCATGACTCCCAAATATTGAAAATGACTCCCAAAATAAATATTGTGAGTCACCATGACTCCCATTTTTAAAAGTCTGTGTGAAACCCTGCACTCGCAATCAGTTGAACAGTAGAAACTACATACGGTTTTGGGTTTGTGGAATATGGACTCGTCTGCCATTTAAGGTACCAGGTATGTTTCTGTATTCTGAATTTGTTTGGGGTATTTTTCTGTTAGGTGCCTGTGCCAACAACGGATTCTTCAGCTTCAGTAAATGAATAATTGATTTCAGATATTTCAAATGTTTGGCTTTGTCGTAATTGGTTACGTCGTATATCCATTTTTGTGTTTAAAACATTGTTGGTAAAGATATACAGTATTATCCCTTCTCTTTAGGTTACAAGGTAAACGATGCTTTTAACTGCACTAATCTCTAAAAGTAAAACCATATGTATTTGTTAGCGGGTAAGATAATGTAGAAAATCGGTTGTGGTTACACTGTTCGTGTGTGAAGTATACTCCGAGAGAGACTAACATTTCGACTAGAGCATCATATTCCTAGTCAGGTTCATGAAACTTAATCTAACCTGGTCACTGGTTGGTGACGTACCTGGGCCTATTGCCAATAGGGTCTCGATTCAAAATGGCCATTACAACGAATCCACATAATTCGGCTACATCATTACGAGTATATAACCTCTCGGCGCTATATAGTCGATATGAGGAAACGCAAAATCGTCTTTCTAAACCTCGCTACTGCAGACGACTTGTGATGACAGGTGTACCATTTAATGAACTTTCGGTTTCAAATCACTGGCGATCTCTCTCTTAATGGACAGTTTTAATATTTACCTTCACCGCGACTTGTTGACAGAAAACACAGATGGAAAGCAAAGGCGATGAGCAACGCTGACAACACAGGTCGAATCATTTTCTTGGCGCTGGTCAAACAGAACGTGTAGACTGTGACCTGACGATCGGGTCTTCCTTGAAACGTGTAATGGAGTTGTACTTCCGGGCTTATGCGCAGTTAATATATATTTTTATCAATGAAAAAAACAATACACACAACATTACACTATCAATTCATTATATCTTCATGGCAAAAGTGTATATTCTTATTTCATAATATTTTGTTCGTATTTTGCAGGAACGCAGTAAACAAGACTTGCCCGGGCTCTAATTCATTTTTCGAAAGCCGACCATTTCACGAATAAGATTAATAAAAACTAATTTGACGATTTGAATGTGACGTGATTAAGATAGTAAATATCGAGCAGTGATAATAACAATTCAAAATGCAAGAATTATCTTATCAAATATTAAAAACTGCATAGAAAATAAGTACGTTATTGTGGTCGAGACCACACCCAGTCATGCTATCAATAAGCAACGTTCATGTGATAGTGACGCATAAGTCGCAGATGTTAATAACCATGGTTTCATTTTCACATATATTTATCAGCTTTTTTCAGAGAGCTGTTATCAATATTCTTTTATCCAAACCACACATGTGCACAATAACTGTTTGACACATAATGGCTGTTTCGAACAAAAACTAACCCTTGGTAAATGTGTTTGACTGAGAGAATTTACATACACATGGATCTGTTTCAGAGCCATTTGATCAAAAAGATTGATTAAATCGACAGCTACTCGTGTTTATCAGAGTAAGTAAACAAGCACCGGGTCTGTGGTATATATGTTCTGGAGTTTATACTGCAACTGATTGATCTGGTCCGACATCTGGTTAATTTGCAGTACATCAGGATATATATATTGTATACCGCGCGTTAAGTTGAGTTGGGTTGAGTTGGGCTTTACGTCACATCGGCATTATTTCAGCCTAATGGTGACGAGAACAAATCTGCATTAATAAACATTGTAAGTACAGAGTCAAAATGAGTTTTATTTCAAAAACATATATTCATTACATTGTCATTTAAAGACACAAAAAGGCATAGCACTAAATTTAAAGGCAGGCAATTTGTTAGTCATATTACACAGTTACAATTTATGATACAGATCAACTTCCCTCAGGTAGTTCACTATCAGATGAGCGCTCACCCGGGAGAACAGATCTTTCAGATTTGTTGCATCATAATGTGAGTCCCTTGCAGACGACAAGTCCACACAGTCAATCAGAATATGTTTGATGGTGAAAACCTCATCGCAAGAGACACACATGGGGGGTCCATCCCCATCCGTTTTCAGCAGATAGTCATGTGTTAACCGACTGTAGCCAATACGAAAAAAAAAGATATATGCCAGGATTACTTATTCTAATTGATTTTGAAAAAGCTTTTGACACAGTTTCAAAAGATTTCATCAATTCAGTCCTTAAGAAATTTGGCTTTGGTCCCCAAATAATACGCTGGATTAATCTACTAACATATCACACAACTTCTTGCGTGATACTTTCTGGTGTCCCCCGCCGTGATGTTGCTGGAATATTGCTAAAAGCGGCGTAAAACCAAACTCAGTCAGTCAGTCAGTCTTGCGTGATACAACATGGCCACTTATCTGACTTCTTTGAAAATGAAAGGGGTTGTAGACAGGGAGATCCCTTATCACCATATTTATTCCTCTTTGTAGCTGAAATCTTGGGATGTATGATAAGAAATAATGATAAAATTAAAGGCATTGTTACTGATGATAAAGAATACACGTTAGGCCAATATGCGGATGATACCGAATTATTTCTTGATGGTAGAGATGAGAGACTTTATGCAGCTATTGAAACAATCAATACTTTTTATAAGATGTCAGGTCTGAAAATAAATATAGATAAGACTAAAGCTTTCTGGATTGGCTCAAAGGCAGGCAGTGAAGAAATATTATGTAAAAGTTTGAAAATTGAATGGTATAATGGAGAGTTTGATATTCTGGGAATCAAATTTACCCCAAACCTTGCTGATCTATGGGTGATTAATACAAGAAAAAGACTGGAAGAAATAAACAGATTATTAGCAGTATGGAGAAAAAGACATTTGACATTGATAGGAAAAATCACTGTCATAAAAACATTAGCCCTTTCAAAATTAGTACATATTTTCAGTTCATTGCCCAATCCTCCAGATGACTTTATTAAATCCCTTGAAAAGATATTTTTCAAATTCATCTGGATTGATAAAAATGATAAAATAAAAAGAATCACAATGAAAAGATTAAGGACTGAAGGGGGACTGGGTATGGTAGATATAAAAATATTTATTGAAGCTCTAAAATTATCCACTTTTAGGCTCTACTGTAAAATATCATCCGACAATAATCCTTGTAATATACCGTATAATGATATATTCAAGAATGGAGCAAATATTGACAAAATACTCAACATTGAAAATCCTTATTGGAAAGATGTTTTAAAAGCATGGAACAATTATTGCAAAAAGTTCAATGCTGATTCTGACAATATTGATTACATTCTTGCAGAACCATAATGGCTCAATCATAATTATGAAAACCCTTGCCATGTTATTATTCATAAGGGCGGATAAGGGCTTATTGACAGTAAAGGATTTATGTGATGAACATGGATTTATGCCATTTGATAAGTTAAAGATAAAATACAAAATAAGAGGGACACTATTAGACTATAACTATCTACTTCACATCTTACCTGATATTTGGAAAAATGTTAATAAAAGGACAAGAATCATTCCTTTCTACAATTTATACATCAATGTTTACCAAAGAAATATGTTAAAGCTCTCCAAAGGTTCAAGAATATTTTATGACAAGCTGATTTCTAAAAATGATAAACTTGAAATTTGTACTAAATGGGAAATTATATTCAATGACTGTGAGTTTGATTGGTACAAAAATTTTAACGTTTATAGACATGGATTGAAAGACGTTTCAATACAGGTATTTGCAAAGAGTTATTTATACTAAAAAAGAATTATCGAGAATGAACCTGATTGACAATGATTTGTGTAGTTTTTGCAATGATGTTTCTGAGAGCATTTGTCATGTTTATTTGGAATGCTGTGAAAGCATGAAATTCTGGAATGATCTAGAACTCTGGATTAATAACTATTTACCACGAAAAATAAACATCACAAAATATTTGATTTGGTTTGGTACATTGCATAATGATGTATTACTAAATCAAATCATTATCTCTGCCAAAAAACATATCAATTTATGTAATATAAAAAAATCAATTCCAAAATTCAGTAATTATAAAAAGGTATTAAAAGAGATATTTTCTGTAGAAAAATTATTTCAAAGAGAAACAATGAAATCGAAAAATTCAATCTTAAATGGAATTCGCTCATCCCAATATTCAGCAACTAATTATTATTACATCTCTACAGCAATGTATCTTCACCTTTTCTGTGCTTGTTGCTACCATATACCCTTGTTATTGACTTTGTAAACATGGGAACAAAAAAAATTGTTGGCTTCAGTTCATACAGTATATTTCTTCCTACTTGAGCGTCCCACCTCTTTTGCACGAGGTCCCGCGTATAGCTTTTGATAGTGGGTTTGAAATCACTGTACGGGATCAGCAGTGGATATAAAGGGTTGTCAAGAGCTGCTTTAGCTGCAGCATCGGCTTTTGTGTTACCTGCTATGCCGACGTGACCCGGCAACCAGCAGAGGACGATGTCACATTGGCCAGTAGAAAGGTCGTTGTAAAGTTCTAAAATGTCCAGAATGATTGGGTGACTTGAAGTAACATTTTGAAGAGCTTGAAGGCAAGATAATGAATCTGTAAAAACGATGAAGTTTTTGGAATGATTTTGCTGTTTAATGTAGGTCAAAGCTGAGAAGACAGCTTTGGCCTCGGCAGTGAAAATGGAACTGTTGTCGGGAATCCTAGAGGAGACAGTCTTGGATCCAATGACTGTAGCACTGGCAACCTGGCCCTCATCCTTGGATCCGTCTGTGAAAATGGATCTATGGGTGTCATACTTGGAACGTAATTGGTTGTATTCCTGCTGGAACACCAAAGGGTTTGTTTCAGACTTTTTGAGTTTAGTGAGGTTAAGGTCGACCTGTGGTTTCACCATTGGCCAGGGTGGCGAAGACAGGAGTCGGTAAGGTGCTTTGATATTGAGATTAATTTTAGCTGCAGATATGTGTGGTTGAATTCTGATTCCAAGTGGTGGAACCAGGCTTGGCAGTTTGGGAAACAGGTTTTCATAGAGAAGGTTGAAAACACAATCGTATGCTGGATTGGACTGATTTGAACGTAATTTAGTGATATATTGCAGTGAAAGTTTAATGCGGCGTTGTTCAAAGGAAGGTTCGTTAGCCTCTGCATATAGATTGTCTACCGGAGAGGTCCTAAAAGCTCCCAGGCAGCGCGTAAAGGTTGATATATTAATAATAATATGAACTATACGGCCTGATTGTATGCACTGCATGTATGAATTTAATACTGTAAAAACTAATAATAATAAAATGACAAATCACTTCTAATCTCAATTCATAATAGGGGCGGGCGGTAGCCTAGTGGTTAAAGTGTTCGCTCGTCACGCCGAAGACCCGGGTTTGATTCCCCACATGGGCACAATGTGTAAAGCCCATTTCTGGTGTCCCCCGCCGTGATATTGCTGGAATATTGCTAAAAGCGGCGTAAAACTAAACTCAGTCAGTCAACCCATAATAACGCCTGTTAGATATCAAGCCTCAATCATCAGCTGTTATCATAAATCGTTCAACATACCCTACCATACACTAGGAACCATCTTAAATCATCCACGACCCGTCATAAGCCATTCATGTTCCGTGTTCATTCTATGCCCTATATTATTCAGGATTGACCCATCATAGCAATGCAATTACCATCATCAAGACACCATCAACCATCCTCAATCCATCATAAGTCACCCCCATCCTCAATCCACTCAATCCATCATAAACCATCCATCATCCTCAATCCACCATTAACGATCCCCAATCGACAATAAACCATCCACCATATATCATCCCCATCCTCAATCCACCATCAAACATCAACCATAAATCATCCACACCCTCAATCCACCATAAATAATCCCTATCCTTATCCCTATCCCCATCCCCATCCCCATTCCCAATCCACCATCAACTATCAACCATCCTCAATCGACAATAAATCATCCACTATCTATAAGACCCGTGAAGGTCCGTGTTAGAACGAGCCTTCAGTAACCCATGCTTGTCGTAAGAGGCGACTAACGGGATAGGGTGGTCAGGCTCGCTGACTTGGTTGACACATGTCATCGGTTCCTAATTGCGCAAATCGATGCTCATGCTGTTAATCACTAGATTGTCTGGTCCAGACTCGATTATTTGCAGACCGCCGCCATATAGCTGGAATATTGCTGAGTGCGGCGTAAAACTCAGGAAGGGTGGATGCCGATCAGATCATGCCGTTATTTGAAAATATCCCCGGTAGTTCTTGTCTGATTGTAATAAAGTATCCCAGCAGTGTAGGCTTTTTCAGTTTTTCTAATGCCTGGATGGTATAATTACTGATCCAATTTGATCCTATTTCTATGTTTTTTACCTCGATATGTAATAATGTTATGCAAAAATATGATGTCTATTACCTATGATAATAAAAACACAAACGCGGTTGCAGGTGTCGATTAATGACAACTTCTATATGTGTACTTCAAACGTATTTGTATTGTTATGCGAGTCCAAAAACGTTTCGATTTGTCATTGTTCATTATCTAGAATCAGAACTGCGTGGCTCTACCATGCCTCTAGTTTGATTCCAGTCGTGAGATACTATTTCAGCTTTGATATAACAAGAAATGTGTATCGTATAAAGCGTGATTATTTTTTACGAACTGCATAGAAGGATGGATACGTATGCTTATGCAAATCATACAGCTTCATCATAATCGTGTAGTCCAAAAATAAACAGTGAAGCTTCAATGGAATTATAGTTTGAGAGTCTCAAAACATATCGTGGAGCTTCAATCAAAACCTCAATGCAATTCATATAGCTGAAATCAAATAGTGTAGTTTTAATCATATACTAGTTCGTGTATCTTAAATCCATTTGTGCAGTTTTAATCAATTAATAGTTCGTGTACCTCAAATCATTTCATGTAGCTTCAATCAAATTATAGTTGATGTATCTCAAATCTATTCGTGTAGCTTCAATCAAATTATAGTTGGTGTATCTCAAATCATTTCGTGTAGCTTCAATCAAATAATAGTTGGTGTATCTCAAATCTATTCCTGTAGATTCAATCAAATTATAGTTGGTGTATCTCAAATCTATTCGTGTAGCTTTAATCAAATTATAGTTGGTGTATCTCAAATCATTTCGTGTAGCTTCAATCAAATTATAGGTCGTGTATCTCAAATCTATTCCTGTAGCTTCAAACCAGATTACTCCGTCCAAAGTTCAAATGGAATGGTGTACCTTCAAATCAAAGCGGGGATCTGATGGACTAGTTGGCGGGCCAGGTGATTTAATTGCATGGCAGGTGAGGTGAAATAGGGTTTAACGTCGTACTTGAGAATATTTCGCTCATACGACGACGTGCATGCGTGTGTATGTGTATGTGCGGCTGCTTGTACTAGCCCAGACTTATTCTGGATTTTATAGTGCTAGCCCACTGATATACCATACCGCAGTGAAGCATGAATACCCCCTCAGACACTTTATACTGACTCCGAGCAGCCCAGTCCTT